TTGGGTTTTGCGCACAAGTGAACAAAGAGGTTCCGCGGCGGAAGTCGCTGGTGGGCACCCCCTACTGGATGGCACCAGAGCTCATCTCCCGACTACCGTATGGGCCAGAGGTAAGGCTAGAGGCCTAGGAGCGGTGCCGCGCCCTGGGATCCAGGGGAGCTCATGGACGGGCCCAGGGAAGCCACTGCTAGAGGAGGGAGATGGAAGGGGACGTGGAACTTGAAGAGGCTGAAGCTGGCGCGTCGAGATGGCCGCCAGGGCCTTCCAGCTCATTCAGCAGGGCTCTGTGCCCCGAGGAATTGGCTGTCTGGGCAGCGCTCACTCCGTGAAGAGGGAACCCCATGTTGTGTCTGCTGAGAGACGGCTCCAGGGACATGGATGGGCAGGGGAAAGCTGATCTCGGGACCTACTCCACGATGGCAGCGGAGAATCCCTACAATCCCTAGTTCCTTGCCTTCCCCGCCAGGTAATCCACAGGGTCCCGCGGGCTCCCAACAACACGGGGAACCGTCCCATCCATAGGATGGCTGGGGTGGTCGCAGGGACAGCTCTGAGCAGGTGTGCACGCACAGGTCTCATTTGCATGCTCAGTTCCCAGGCCACCAGCTCTCTCCTTGCACCACCTCCCTGCCCCAGGGGCTTCTTGTGACCAGGAGACGCTGACCATGCAAGGGGGGATAAATTGGACATGCTGCCTGAGCCTGCCTGAACCCTGATCACTCTTTCTAGGCAGGACGGGCCTGTCAGACTTCTGCCCAGTGGCCAGTTACTCTGGTGGCAATGAATCCATTTGGCTTCTGGCACATGGGTAGCAACCAGGGCCAAGGGGTGGTGCTGTGTGTAAGGCAGGCGTGGGCAACAAGTTTTGATGAGGGGCCACTCCAGGATTTTGGAAAGTGGTTGAGGGGCGCAGGTGCAGGGCCTGGGATGCAGGTTGGGTGCAAAAGGGAGGCTGGGGTAAGGGATTGGGGTGCAGGAAAGGATGTGGGGTCTGGGAGGGGGTTTGGGTGAAGAAGGCAATTGTGACCTAGGGCAAGAGATTATGGTGCAGGGGTTTGGGTTGATACCTTGGGCAGGGGATTGGGGTGCAGTGTCGGGAAGGGGTATGGCTTCAAGAGGGGGACAGAGTTTGGCTTTTGTGGGGTAGAAGGGCAGGAGTGGGAATGCAGAGGGTTGGGGGGAAGGAGGGGCTGGGGTGCCAGAGGCAGGCTCTGGCTGGGAGACTTACCTGGATGACGCCTGGCCAGCAGCACAGCACAGCAGGTTTCTCAGGCAGCCTCCCTGCCTGCTTGCTCCGCCCCTGCTCAGTCTGCAGGGGCCATGTGAGTTGGTGAATAAGAGCCTGAGGGGAAGGGGGAGTGGTGCTTTGGCAGGCAGCTCCCATTGGCCAGAAATCAGCCAATGGGATTGTGCTGGGGGCAGGAGCAGCGCGTGAAGCACCACTCCTCCCTCCCCTGGGCTCACAGCTGAGACAGACTGTGGTAGCCTTTTCTGAGCACCTGGGGCAAGCAGGAAGTCTGCCTGAGGCTCCTTGCTGTGTCTGTGGGCCGGAACTGGTCACTTGGCAGGCTGGATCTGGCCCTGGGCTGCATTTTGCCTAGGCCTGGTGTAAATGCAAACCAGTCTGAAGTGCTATGAGAAGAGGCTGAGGGAGTTGGGTCTGTTGGAGTTGGGTCTGTTAAGTCTGCAGAAGCGGAGAGTGATGGGGGGGGGGGGGGGGGGGGGG